ATGGAAGCCCCCAGCCTCTCTTTTCTTTTCTTTTTTTTTAATTCTGGGATTTATTTACCTTCTGTAATTGAAACTTTGTATCCTGGAGTGGAGCTCAGAGCTGGCCAGGGCGAGTGGGAGGGAAGCTTGGCTTCCTCCATTGCCAGAGGCAACCCAAGGCTCCAGCTCCGTGGCCACGGCTGGCTGAAAGCAGGTATCTGGGGTTTATTTACCTTCTATAATTGAAACTTTGTTGCTTCGAATGGAGCTCAGAGCTGGCCACCGCAGGCAGGAAGCTTGGTTTCCTCCATCATTGGGGCAACCAAGCCTCCTGCTTGCTCCAGCTCCGAGGCTGCCAGCCGCCATCTTGTTTGGGTTAATTTGCATATAGCCACTCTGATTGGCTGGTGGGCGTGGCTTAAGGTGTAGCAAAGGTATGGTCAATTTGCATGTTTGTCTTTTACTAGTGTAGATACCAACAGTAACTGAAAACAAATCTAAAAAATAAAGGCTCATAAGCCCTGATCACTAAGAAACACTACATCAGAAAGCATTTGTTTAAAAAAATTCCTTTATGGCCCTGGTGGGGTAGCTCAGTTGGTTGGAGCATCATCCCAATAAGCCAAGGTTGCAGGTTCCATGTCCAGTCAGGTAACATACAAGAATTAACCAATGAGTGCATAAATAAGTAGAACAGCAAATCCATCTCTCTCTCTCTCTCTTGCTCTCTCCTTCTCCTCTCTCTCTAAAATCAATCAATCAATCCATCAATCAATTCCTTTATGAGAGAAACATCCCTTGATTGTGATGGTTACCTCTGGAGATATTTATTCCCAATTTAGAATTTAAAAAGGCAGAATTTTCCTGGAGTTTTGTAGAGGGTTAGAGAGTTGAATAGGTAAAGCATGGGGATCTTTTAAGGAGGTAAAACTATTCTGCATGGTATTACAATGGTAAATAGAAGACATTAAGCATTTGTCAAAACCCATGGAACTTCACATTACAGAGTAAATATTGATATATTCAAATGAAAAAATTAATTAGATGCTTAGGGAATTCCAGGATGAAAGGCAAAATACTAAAAAATAATCTAAATAATCTAAATGCATTACAAATGTCTAAAACAACTTACAAAAGAATAAGGTGCTGACCTGAGTAACTGAAAATAAGTGCACTCTAAAAGACCAAAAGCAAAAGGAACTGTACATAATAACTGTACTATAATTGATAAACATTTTTCATATGGGCATAGAGATTAACAATTCTAAAACACATTACATATATACACTGAGTGGCCAGATTATTATGATCAGCCTATCAATACTTCATTCGCCATCAACATGATAGGATGAACTTGATCAGCAATGATACTTAGGTATGTTGTGCTATTCAGATGTTTATAATGACCTGGCCCTCTAGCAACTTAGTGCAAAATTATACCTAATTTGTATACAAATGTCAGGTGGTCATAATAATCTGGCCACTCAGTTTACAGATAACTAAGGCTAGGATGATCCATGTGTAATGTATTAGAGTTGGCAGCTGAGAGGACTTAAACACAATGACACCCCAATAGCAAAAAACACAACTACCACTCTCGCCTTAACGCACTGTGTACCGCATAGAAATCTCTAAGACATACACCAAGGACCTCACATTTTTGGGCAAACTTGCACGTTATTTAAATCATCATAACTACATATCATAATGTACTTTCGGTGTTGTTTTTCAATAATTATAACATTTTTATTTACAAAAACAATTAAATAAAGTTCCTAGTACTTTTTTAACGTATGGTACTGTGTAAAACATTTTCCTCTATGAAGAGGGACCAAACAAAATTTACATAAGTATCTAGATTTGCTCCTTTTTCCATGGGCGGCACAAACTTTGCAGGCTCTCGTAGAAAATTTTTTCTTTCCAGTCGCTGGAATACACGTAGGTTCATGCTGCTTCATATCACCTGACAACCTTTTGGGTGGATCTTTACGAGGTGCTCTCCTTGCACCCCCAGGGGCAGGGCTGGACAGATTTGTCTCTGGTTCCGGAGAGCCTTCATTATTGTCATCCGTTATCCAGTCTCTCGCCACCGATAGCAGAAACTGTTTATACTTCATTTTTGCTTGTGGATTGAGGACATTGTACACTCTAAATGCATTGAAAAGTCCACAGTTTATAAGGTACAGCACTACTTTTTTTTGTCCATTTCATCGTTTTCCTTAGAATGGAACAACATATTCGAGTGACCAAAATACAATGTAACTGCAATGCTTTATGGGTTCGTGCAATTATAAAGTTTTTCGTAGATTTACCTGCACAGTTTCCACCAATGAGATCGCTTCATTCGATGTGGACAAGACAGTGTGTTGACATGTAAGGTCCATAACAGATGGTGAGTGAAAAACGAGAAAATTCGTGAGCAGTCCTTAACAGATGGCACGCGAAACACGAGAAAGCTTGTGAGCGGTACGAAAGTTGTTAATTTGTAATACCATTTTTCCACAAAAGAACTTGGAAATGACTGATTCTTGGACTGAGGTAGAAAATATACAAGATGTCTAGAGCATCTGGTATTGCCAGAAGGAAAATGCTCACACACACACACACACACACACACACACAGAGGATATTTCAAAAGGATGAAGAAAGCCAACTGAAAAATCTCTCAGTGGCCAAATCTAGAACAATTTGAGCAAAACTAAGTCAATCAATCAATCAATCAATCAATAAGGTAGC